GGGGCTGGACGGACATGGGGGCAGTGTGGGGTGGGGGCTGGATGGATGTGGAGACAGTGTGGGTGGTTCTGTCCATCCTCTTCCTGCGTGCACCATCATAAGGATGGGGTGCCCCGTTTTATAAATGAAACCGAGGCACAGAGCGGTTTGCCCAGAACTGCAACCCCGTCCAGATCTAGAGATGCAAGTCTGGGTGTGTGGAGACAGCCCCAAGCCCACCCTGGGTCCTGGGAGCCGGGTGGGCCCTCGTCGGGCTTCCTGGAGGTGGGGCCCATGGACTGGGGCCTCCAGGGTCCCGGACACCTTGTGCTGGGCGATCCAAGCCATCGGCTTGGCTGGAAGAGGGGGCGGCTTCCAGGGAGGCCCAGAGGGCCGTGCCGAGAAGCCAGGTCCCGTGGCTCTGGATGTGATGGTCCTGGAGGATGGATGCACAGAATGACAGCCTGACCTTGGAGGGTGGGGGCTGTGGCCCCGGGGACGGGCTGGGAAGCCCATGTATGTGGGCCACGGAGTCTCAGAACCTGGCACTTGTCAGCTGTGGTTAGGGGGCCGGGCCGGGACCTCTGACCTGGCGGTGCGAGTTTGCGCTGGCCTGTCCCTGAGGATATCTGAGGGTAGCAGGCGCTGTGCAGCCCCAGGTGTACGTGTGGCTCACCCCGGGAGGGGTCCCTGTCCAGGGTGGTGGGACAGGTGCTGGTCAGCTGCCTTGTGGGGCACCGCCATCCCTGGTCCAGATCACGCTTGGCCGTTCCCGGTGGTGCCACGTACTGTCCCGAGGCTGCCCTGTCTTTGGTGGGGAGGGCTGTTCTCTGCCTCATTGCTGGGGCTGGCGAGGGCGGCTTCCCCCTGGCCTTCACAAATGTTCCCGGGAGCTGTCCCCTCTCCCCAGGCTCCTCCAAAAGCCCTTCCCAGTCTGAGGTCCCTGCCCCCTCCTCCCTGCTGGGGGTCCTGGCCCACTCCTGCCTGTCCTGTCCACGTGTCAGCCTCTGGTCCAGGTTGCTGTGAGGGGGCTCTGATTCCAGCCTCTGCCAGAGGGGCTGGGGTCCTGGGTGGGGTGGGGGCCTCCTCCAGGTCTGTGGCCAGGCACGAGAGGCTGCATGCCTCCACCATGACCCTCCCCAAGTCCCTCCCAAGCCGTAGAACAAGGTGCCGGGGACCCCCCTGTCCCCTAGGCCACCCACCTGTCGGGTGGAGACCGTCCCCCCTTCTCTGAGATGGGCCCCTCCCTGTGTGTCTGTGTGTGGATGCAGGTTTCTCCTGTGACCCAGGGCGGGGGAGAAGTTTCAGGTGCCGCCACGCCTGAGTGCAGGCATCTGTCCGTGGGCTGTCAGGGAGGCTGGGGAATGCAGAGTCAGAGGAAGCGTGGATGGGCGGAGGAGCTGCCACCCCTGGAGGGGGTAGGCGGGCAGGAGGGCTGGCAGTCCAGGGCAGCAGCGGGGCTGTGGCCTCGGGCCGTCTCTGTGTCCGACTGAGTTCGGGGGTGGGGGGGGCTGACTTGGATGCATTCCCTGGCCCCTGTGGCTGAGACGGACGGGAGGGAGCATGTGCAGGGTGGAGGCTGGGGTTGGACTAGGACTGCAGACTCAACAGCAGAACAAAAAACAGACCCCTGTTTACACGGCATGTCAGATAAACAAATTCTTTTAGTGTAAGTACATTCCGTGCAATCGCCGGGCTATGCTTACACTGAAAAGGACCTGTTGTTTATCTGAAATTCAAATGTGACGGGATGGCCTGTATTTTCCCTGGCAGCCCTGAAGGGCCAACTGGCTAGAGCAGTCCAGGGAGACTTCCTGGAGGAGGCCAGTCTTGAACTTGGCAGGAATGTGGCTGGGGAAGAGGAGGGACTGCAGGGGTGAGGGGGTGGGGATCAGAGTGATGCTGAGGGGACAGCCTGGGGCTAGACTGAGGCTTGCCAGTGGGCAGGTGAGGGGCCGAGGCCCCCGGGGGATGGTAGGTTGGGGGGTTGGCAGGAGGCCAATGCAAGGGCCCAGGGCCAGGGGGGTCAGGTGAGGCGGGTGGCATCCCCACCTGCTGGCCCTGTCGAGGAAAGCACTTGGCTTGGGCTGGCGGTGCGGGTGAGGGGCGAGGCAGGAGCTTGGAGGGACACAGCCCCCAGGGACCCCACCTCCTCCCGCTCTGCACACTGAAGCTCTGGCCTGCGTGGCCTGGTCGCCCTCCTCCGCTGTCCTGGCCCCTGCCCCTCGGGGGGGTTCTCAGAGCGCCTGGCCCCCAGGGAAGGAGACTGTGTTCCAGCCCCCAGGCATTTTCATCTTGCCCGTCGAGGCCCCAGAGGCCACTCCACTCACCAACTTTGTGGTGCGGTTTCATTCCATCCGTGAGCGTCCCTAGAAAGTGCATCTGTAGTCTCTGTTTGGTTTTTGCTTTATAAAAAGCATATATGGTGCTGGGCACAGTGGCTCACGCCTGTCAGCCCAGCACTTTGGGAGACCGAGGTGAGAGGATGGCCTGAGCCCGGGAGTTCGAGCTCAGCCTGAGCAAGTTGGCGAGACCTCATCTCCACAATAAAAAAATTAGTTGGGTGTGGTGGTGCGTGTGTGTAGTCCTATCTTTTTTTTCTTTTTTTTGAGTTGGAGTCTCACTCCATCGCCCAGGTTGAAGTGTAGTGGCACGATCACTGCCACCCCAGCGTCGACCTACTGGGCTCCGGTGATCCTTCTGCCTCAGCCTTCCAAGTAGCCGGAACTACAGGCATGTGCTACCACACCCAGCTGATTTTTGATTTATTGTAGAGATGTAGTCTCACCAAGTTGCCTGAGCTGGTCTCGAACCCACAGACTCAGGCAATCCACTCTCCTAGGTCTCCCAAAGTGCCGGGATGACAGGCTGAGCCAGCAAGCCCAGACAATGTATAGTCCTGTCTGCCTGAGAGGCTGAGGTGGGAAGGTCACCTGAGCCCAGCAGGTTGAGGCTGCGGTGGCCATGAGCGTGCCATGCTCTCCAGCCTGGGTGACAGAGTGAGACCCCGACTCCCCCCCAAAATCATATTGCGTGTGTGAACATTTTTTAGACAGTGTCATCTGAAATGGTCCTCAATTTGCAGGGGTTCTGAAGCCAGCAGGGCTCCCCAGTGAGACTGTCTCGGGTCTGGGCTCCTGAACCCAGGAGACGCCAATGCTGGCCCCGGCTTCAGACTAGACTTGTGTCTCATTTCCACAGTGTCCTTTTCTGTCCTGATGGGTCCGGGGTCCCGCGTGGCATGCAGCGCTCTGTCTCCTTGGCCTCCTATCTGTGACATCCCTCTGGCTCGGGTCCTTGGTGGTCTGACCTCCGAGGGTCTGGCCAGGCTCCTGTAGGACGCCCCTCTCTGGGATTGTCCGGTGGTGCCCTGTGGGGACTAGAGAACAGGTTTCAGGACGAGGACCACATCCTGTCTCACCACCCGGGCGGCCCCGACATCCAAGCGGCACCACAGGCGACGTTCACCTTCCTCACCCCAGTCAGGGTGTCTGCGGGTGCCTCCTTGGTGAAGGGACCACGTCCCCCTTTCCACACTTTCCTGTTCAGTCACTAGGTCCCAGCCACGCTCAGGAGGGAGGGCTAAGCTCCCTCTCCCGCAGGGAGGAGGACGGGAGCCTTTGCCAGCGTCCAGGCTGCACAGGGATGCCCAAGTAGTCGGGGGGACACAGAGTTCCCGCATTTGCTTCCTCCTCCGTTCCAGGGGCGCTCCCCGATCCCAGTGTCCCTGTTGGTTGGGATGGGACTCCTGTGGGTCAGCGCCCCATCCAACTACCCTATGCACGGTGCAGCTGGGGCCTGTGTGTGTGTCCTGCTGCACACGCTTCCTGCATGGAGACCGCGTGTCCATCCCCCATCCCCCAAGGGGCTTGATATGGAGCAGCTGGGCTGTGAGCACCCTTGCCGCACCTCCAGGGGAGGACGCGCCAGCCCGCGGGTCTAGGAGTGTCTGTTGTAAGCACAGTGCAATATGTCCCCGAATCCCTGCACCGACGCACACGCCGGCCACAGCGCACAGGGCCTCTGTGGCTTCTCCCAGGGCCCTGGCCTCCTGGCCTCTGACCGGCGTGCTCCCTACTCCTCAGACGTCTCCCTCTCCTCGCCCGTCGCCTGCCCAGGGCTGCCCCTCTGCTGGGCTGTCTGCCTCCCTGTGCCTTTGAGGGACCCCTTGCACGTGCTTCTGCTTCCGGACAGACCTTCGCCGGCCACCTTCCCTGTCACCCGCCTGCCGCCCCCTCCACCCTGCCTCCCCAGAATGACCAACTGGCTGACGCCTTCCGTTGGAGGCGGGTTGTGTGTCCTAGCCCCTCCCCACACCGTG